GTATTTAGAAGGCTTATTTCACTTGGTGTGAAATTCTTAAGTTATATCCCTTACTGCAGGTGTCTCCAAACTTTTCAAAGGGCCAATTTACTATCCGCCTGACTTTAAAGGGGCCAAATTGGGGTAAGTGGGGGTAGAAAATGTCCCAGGCCCAGCATCAGAGAGAATAAACATTGTCTCAGGGTTTGTGGTCAGTAGGAAGAGGAGTAGTGCCCCAGCATTGGCACTGGTGGGAGGAATAGTGCCCCATCATTGCTATTGGTGGGAGGAATATTGCCCTACCATTGATATCAGTGGGGGGAATAGTGCCCCATTATTAGTGCCCCATTATTCGTGTCAGTGGCAGGAATTTTGCTCCACTGTTGATAGAAGTAGAAGACTAGTGCCTCATCATGGATCATAAAGGCTAGCAAAGGACTGCAGTTTAGAGACCACTGCTTTACTATATGTTGTGTGGCAGATTCTAGCTTTTTTTCTAGTCTGGGATGGAGATGTTCTTGTAATGTGTTTTTTTAAAGTGGAACTTTACTCTCTCAATCAACATAGACTATTTTTTATATTTACTTGTTTAAAATTTTTGTCATCCATCCTAGCAGTCTTCAGGAGACATGGATGGGTGAGTTTGCTTTGAATATTAACAATGCATTAAATAGCATTTTTGGTTTGTGGTGCTCAGATGCAGTGCAGTTCCTTTTTTTTTTTGGATGATGTTCGAGCTGTCCATATTTTATCAGAAGTCTACAGCTTAGTTTCAGCAGTCTGATTGCCTGTTTTTGTTTTTCCTTCAGGACCCTGTAAGAGTCTGGCTGCTTCTAAATACTCTATTTCAAGGTGGATTTGTCAGCTCATTTCTCAGACCTATGGGATCAAGGGCAAAGTTCCTCCTTTCCTGGTTAAGGCCTATTCCACTAAGAGGGTCAGCATCAAACTTCTGTTGTTCAAGTTTGTAAGGCTGCTACCTAATCTTCTCTTTAAATGTTTTACGAAGTTCTAACAAGCTGATGTTTGTTTCTGTGGATGTCCGTTTTTGGATGAAGGGTTCCCCCTTTTCGGTTTAGGGGTTTTGGCTTGCTGGCCTTATGTTGCCCTCCTCCTCGATTCATTACTTTGGGACATCACATTTAGTAATGGCTATTAACTCCTCTGTGCCCTGACATGTATTAAGAAATTAGGATTTTTTTGTTGACCTGCAAAATCCTTTTCTTGGAGTACATCACAGGACACCGAGATCCCATCCCTCTGGCTTGTGTTCCTCATTGCTTGTCACAAAACAAAAGCTTATCTGAGCTGGGAGGAGTTAGGTTTGGATTGGGGAGGGGGATTCCTGCTTTTGTGTTTTGTTTTTTGTTTTTTTGTTTTTTTTTTGTTCTGACCAGTGTCCAGTCACCTGAAGGTGGCAGCATAAGCCATGTAGTAACAACCATAATCTCATCTGTGTCCTGTGATGTACTCCAAAGAAAAGGATTTTTTTTGTCAAGAACCCTAAAGTTGCCCTTCTCAATGAACCTGTGGATGCTATTTCCAGACATTCTCATACCTTGATATTTTTTGTGTTTCTCGTGGTGAAAATTGTCATAGCATCTGCCTGGAAAAGCCAAGTAGTGGACCTGGCAGTTATGAAACTTTCATTAACCAGAGTCATGCTGAATGAGAAGCTGGACAGCATTTTGAAAGATACGTCTTTGAGGTTTGAGAGAGTCTGGAACCCCTGGATTCAATACCTCCAGCTTCCTGCAGTATAGCAGTGTGACAACAGACGGGTTTAGCCTTTTGGACGGATTCTATTTTTCTTTCTCTTTTTCCTTCCCCCTTTCTTTCTCTTAATTTTGCCATAGCATTTTGTTGCGGCTTAAAATCACATTCTTGGTATCTACTGTGACTGTGTTGGCTGGCCAGCGGGATGTGGGAATGCCAAGCTTTACCTCCTACAGGTCCTATTCGTGGGCTTGATTTGTATTCTACTGGTCTTGTTTTTATGTTTGTTAAATTCTCCTGCTGGCAGTTACATTCAATTGCATTATTTACTACCTGTGCCATACCTGGGGGGGGAAAAGTCCTCTTTTTTTTTTGGTGGGACTTTAACAGCACAATTTACTTGTATTATAAATTTCAACAATTCAAAAGAGATTTTTTATAAAAACAGTATATATTTATTTTTGAAGAATGTAAAAAATAAAATTTCAAAGCTACAATACATATTGCAGCGGTCTCATCAGAGATGGTATTGCAAATCTAATCATGGATCATGCATGGTTCACACTTGATGCGTTTCGAGATCAACAAAAATCTCTTCAGAAGTGCTCAAGAAGGCATGACGTCTATAACAAACACACACATACATTATATATATATATATATATATATATATATATATATGACGCAATCAAATTATTGCAAACAATTTGATACTTTACAATATGGTTATACACTTACATGATTCCATGTGAGGTAAAAACCGCCAGGGAATATTAAAAACAAATTGTTATGTGAACACAGGCACGGATTTCTCATATCTCAGGCAGAAACAAAAATGAATAAAGAAAAAACAAAGACCAGTGGATGAGAAATGCCGTCTAAACGCTTCCTGAAGGGGCCCTGCCCAAATGCACCGTCAACACAATTATCTGCTGGTTGGTACTGATAGTGCTGCAGTGTAAATAATAAAAAGCAATATTAATATCAATTGGCTATCATAAACCCTCGAGAAATTTTAAGTTTTAAGAACTAGACGCACCTACTATGAGTGCGAAGTGATGACCACAAGGAATTTGCGTGAGAAAGTGTTGACGACCTGATAAAAATCAGGATTGAGATGTGAAAGACAGCCCAATATGGGGCAATATACCTAAAGAAGAAAACGTGCAAACCATTGTAGTAGTAGTAGTATAATATTAAAAAATTTGCATACTCCAGTTAAGTTCCATCTGTGTTGTGGACCTGTCACACTTGCCCTTCTAAGCGCAGACGCTTTCTATGTTATACTGAGTGTTAAAAATTTTAATTAATAAACACATTGAAATGGTAAGAAAAGGATTTTACAGGTAAACTAAAAAATCCTAATGACATGGGAAACACTAGTCTGCCTCATATGCTACATTAACAGAAACCTGACATAAGAAAAGGAGGCCGCCATTGCTTACCACTCATTCCCTAAATGCTAGTTTCCTGGCTCTCATGCTGATGCTTTGGTTTCACTATTGCCTGAATCACTCACCTGGCGCAAGTATAGAGATAAGTAATTCTGCCACTTTCTGTTCTGGGCCTGTATTTTAAGAAGTATTAAAGTGATTCTAAAGGGTTTGGGGTTTTTTTTTTTTTTTTTTTTTAAAAGAAAAAATAGCAAACATGTCACATTTACCTTCTGTGTGCTGTGGATTTGCACAGAGCAGCCCGGATTCTCTTCTCGGGTCCCCCGCAGGCTCTCCTGTCGGGTGACCCCACAGCAAGATACTTGCTATGGGGGCACCCGCTGCGCTGTGTGTTTACACACAGCCGCAGCTCTGCCCCGTCCCTCTCTCTTCTCATTGGCTCACTGGCTGCGATTGAAAGCAGTGGGAGCCACTGGTTCCCACTTCTTCTGTCTCAGCCACTGAGAAGGGGGAGTCCCGGAGTAGCCAAGACTCCAGTGCACATTCCCACTTCCGTGGAGTTATCCTCCCTTTAGTGTGGGGCACCCAGCTGTGACAGCCAGATGCCCATTGCGCATGCGCAAGAAGCATTGCGCTTTGTGAATGTCCCGACGTCTTCTGGCACCTGTCATGTGTCCCAGAACACGCCGGACCATTCATAAAGCGCAGCGCTTCTCGCGCATGTGCAGTGGGCACCCAGCTGTCACAGCCGGGTGCCCTCACTAAAGATGCCGGCGCAGGAGGACTGTACAGCGCTGGACCGAGGAACAGGTAAGGTCCAGCTGCAGAGAAGAGCTGAGCGGCCGGCCCGGTATTCTGACATGGAAATACCGGACCGGCCACTCCATATTCGCTCCATAAGACGCACTGACATTTTCTCCCCTTTTTTCGGGGGAAAAAAATTTGTCTTATGGAGCAAAAAATACGGTACTTTGCCTAGCTTAGGCTCAGGCTTCATAAGGAATCTATGCTTACTATTTCCATGCTTCAACAACACATCAAGTTAATATCTTTCACACGTGCATTAAAAAAAATAAACAACTAAAATACCCTTCTGACTGTGTTTAAGCACAAGAGAATCTGACTGCTTAATGATGGGCAAGCAGACCCTGACAATTTTTTTCCCACAAGCCGCATATCCGCTGAGCAAGTCCACACAATGGTTACTTGGGTTTTCTGCTGGAAATGGTTGCATTTTGTACTCTGTAAATTTTTCATATAATAGTGATAAAACAATGGTTGCCTTACTACATGTCCCTTAAGCAGTATTAAACTCAAAAACAAAAGTTTTATATATTGCAGCGTACCAGTTCCTAAATATGGTGGCTGCATTCGTTTTTCTTTTTTCCCCATTATTGTTACCTGCTAATCCAGCCAGTAAATCTGTTATTTTTCAGTTAACTTTAACAGACAGACCAAGCTATGCAGCAGAAGTAGCCATTACAGGATTGGGACAAACCATTTAACCATGGCAGGGGAGCCTTCAATGGCCCGCTTTTGTTCATTGATGTAAACTGTTGCTTTTGCTGCTTAAATCTTGATAGCTGGAGTTCAGCTGCATCTAACGTTACCCTCTCCCCAGACTGACAATGCTGCTGTCCAAAGGTGTCTCTGTTCCTCCTCCAGTAGAGTGGAAACACCCAGGAACTGTTACCAGGTGGAAAACGGGCTAAAAAAAAGAAAACGAATGCAGCCACCGCTTTTTTAAGGTTTTCTTACAATTTCTTTCTACAATGTGTAATTTTGTTTTTGTTTTGTTTTTTTACCACTTTATTATTCTACTGGGAAAACTCTACTTAAATAGTTGGCTGACCCATTCAGCTACACATTTAGTGGTTATGCTAGCTTTTTTATGCTTTTCTCTTGTTTCAGGTTGTGGTTATGGAAGGTACCAACAGCACTGGTAGAAAATTTGTTGCTTCCAAGCTTTATGAGGTAAGGATTCAGGCCACCATTAGTGCACATTATATCTGATTACATTTTATTTGATTTATTTTTTTTAAGCAAAATGTCCTCTAATAACTATTGTAACTCCAATTACACACGGTATTAGTGGCAGTTTTTCCTTAGCCTTATACAAATGTTTTCTCCGTTCCACAAAAAAAAGAATAGTAAAATAGAAATGCAATACAGGAACCTTTGTATCTACTTGTACTTTCCTTCAAATTCAACGGTGCCTGAATTACAAATATCAACTGTACTTTACAAAATTGATGGCTGGCCCAACTCTTCTTGCGCCTTTGTACTTAGCTATTGGTTATGCATACTGCCTATACTGCTTGGGAAAATGTTTGACTTTTCTTCTCAAAGTCACAGAATTCACAACATTTCCCACTCTTCATAAGCTCATGGTCGATTCAGTGAGCATGGACTTATGCAGGCCATAGATGGGTCGAAAATCGGCCGATTTTTCTTTTAAAAAACAAAAAATCGGTTGTTCAAGCGGCCGACGTTACCATCAATGGTAAAAAAAATCGGCCGATTTTCATCCCGTCTACAGCCGGCAAAAGTGTCCTTGCAGAGAGCTCCGCTATTTCTGACAGTTCTCTGACAGTTCCTTGACATTTACAGAGGTTGCAACATTGTATCTATTTGTATCCATTTAGGATACAGATGGTTTTATTCGGAAACAAATAGATACAATGTTGCAACCTCTGTAAATGTCAAGGAACTGTCAAAGAAATAGCAGAGCTCTCTGCAGCAGAGACTTTTTGCCGGACTGGAATTCCTTTTATTTTTCATCCTTCTTCTTCTCCTTCATCATCATCCTCTTCTTCTTCTTCATAATCATCCTCTTCTTCTTCTTCTACTTCTTCATCATCATCCTCTTCTACTTCATCATCCTCTATCATCCTCTTCTACTTCTTCATCATCATCATCCTCTTCTTCTGCTTCTTCATCATCATCATCCTCTTCTTCTTTTTCTTCATCATCATCATCCTCTTCTTCTACTTCTTCATCATCATCATCCTCTTCTTCTACTTCTTCATCATCATCCTCCTCTTCTTTTTCTTCATCATCATCATCCTCTTCTACTTCTTCATCATCATCATCCTCTTCTACTTCTTCATCATCATCCTCTTCTTCTTTTTCTTCATCATCATCATCCTCTTCTTCTTCTTCGTCATCCTCTTCTTCTACTTCTTCATCATCCTCTTCTTTTTCTTCATCATCCATCCTCTTCTTTTTCTTCATCATCATCATCCTCTTCTTTTTCTTCATCATCATCATCCTCTTCTTTTTCTTCATCATCATCATCCTCTTCTACTTCTTCATCATCATCATCCTCTTCTACTTCTTCCTCTTCTTCCTCTTCTTCTTCCTCCTCCTCCTCCTCCTCCTCCTCCTCCTCCTCCTCCTCCTCCTCCTCTTCCTCTTCCTCCTCTTCTTCCTTCTTCTTCTTCTTCCTCCTCTTTCCTCTTCCTCTTCCTCCTCTTCCTCTTCCTCTTCCTCTTCCTCCTCTTCCTCTTCCTCCTCTTCCTCTTCCTCCTCTTCCTCTTCTTCTTCCTCTTCTTCTTCCTCTTCCTCTTCCTCTTCTTCTTCCTCTTCCTCTTCCTCTTCCTCTTCCTCTTCCTCTTCTTCTTCCTCTTCTTCTTCCTCTTCTTCTTCCTCTTCTTCTTCCTCTTCTTCCTCCTCCTCTTCTTCCTCTTCTTCCTCCCTCTTCTTCTTCTTCCTCCCTCTTCTTCTTCTTCCTCTTCTTCTTCCTCCTCTTCTTCCTCTTCTTCCTCCTCTTCTTCTTCTTCTTCTTCCTCCTCCTCCTCCTCCTTCCTCCTCCTCCTCTTCTTCTTCTTCTTCTTCTTCTTCTTCTTCTTCTTCTTCTTCTTCTTCTTCTTCTTCTTCTTTTCTTCTTCTTCTTCTTCTTCTTCTTCTTCTTGACTTCTTCTTCTTCTTCTTCTTCTTGACTTCTTCTTCTTCTTCTTCTTCTTGACTTCTTCTTCTTCTTGACTTCTTCTTCTTCTTCTTGACTTCTTCTTTTCTTCTTCTTGACTTCTTCTTCTTCTTCTTGACTTCTTCTTCTTCTTGACTTCTTTCTTCTTCTTCTTCTTCTTCTTCACTTCTTCTTCACTTCTTCTTCACTTCTTCTTCTTCTTCTTGACTTCTTCTTCTTCTTCCTCTTCCTCTTCCTCTTCTTCCTCTTCTTCCTCTTCTTCTTCTTCCTTCTTCTCTCCTTCTTCTTCTTCCTCTTCTTCTTCTTCCTCTCTTCTTCCTCCCTCCACCCTCCTTCTCCCTCCACCCTCCTTCTCCCTCCACCCTCCACTCCTCCACCCTCCACCCTCCCTCCACCCTCCCTCCACCCTCCTTCTCCTCTCCACCCTCCTTCTCCCTCCACCCCTCCTTCTCCCTCCACCCTCCTTCTCCCTCACACCTTGGCCTTCTCCCTCCCCCTCCTTCTTCCTCCACCTCCCTTCTTCTTCTCTTCTTCTTCTTCCTCCTCCTTCCTCCTCCTCCTTCCTTCCCTTCCTCCTCCTCCTCCTCCTCCTCCCTCCTCCTCTCCTTCCTCCTCCTTCCTCTTCCTCCCTCCTCCTCCTCTTCTTCCTCCTCCTCCTCCTCTCTTCAAAATCCTCTTCCTCTTCCTCCTCCTCCTTCCTTCCTATCCTCTTCCTCTCCTCCTCCTCCTCCTCCTCCTCCTCCTCTTCTTCTTCTCTTCCTCCTCCTCCTCCTCCTCCTCCTCCCCTCCTCCTCCTCTTCTTCTCCTCTTCTCCCTCCTCCTCCTCTCCTCTTCTTCTTCCTCCTCTCTTCCTTCCTCCTCCTCCTCCTCCCTCCTCCTCCTCCTCCTCCCTCTTCTTCTTCCTCCTCCTCCTCCTCCTCCCCTTCCTCCTCCTCCTCCTCTTCTTCTTCCTCTTCTTCCTCTTCTTCCTCTTCTTCTTTTTCTTTTCCTCTTGCAGGTCACTGCTCATGCGCAGATTTTTTATCGACAAAAAATCGGCCGATTAGCCCATTATTGCCACGAAAATCGGGCCGATCGGCAAAATCGCCGATTTTTTTTCCAACTTTCCCGATTTAAAAAAACGGCCAAAATACCGAAAAAACGGCCGAACAAATAGCCCACTAACGATCCGAAAATCGCCGATTTTTATCGGCCGAAAAATCGGCCGATTTTCGACCCATCTATGGCCTGCATTAGTCAGGTCCATAAATATTGGGACATCGACACAACTCTAACATTTTTGGCGCTATACACCACCACAATGGATTTGAAATGAAGCAAACAAGATGTGCTTTAACTGCAGACTATCAGCTTTAATTTGAGGGTATTTACATCCAAATCAGGTGAACGGTGTAGGAATTACAACTGTTTGCATATGTGCCTCCCACTTGTTAAGGGACCAAAAGTAATGGGACAGAATAATCCTAAATCAAACTTTCACTTTTTAATACTTGGTTGCAAATCCTTTGCAGTCAATTACAGCCTGAAGTCTGGAACGCATAGACATCACCAGACGCTGGGTTTCATCCCTGGTGATGCTCTGCCAGGACTCTACTGCAACTGTCTTCAGTTCTTGCTTGTTCTTGGGGCATTTTCCTTTCAGTTTTGTCTTCAGCAAGTGAAATGCATGATCAATCGGATTCAGGTCAGGTGATTGACTTGGCCATTGCATAACATTCCACTTCTTTCCCTTAAAAAACTCTTTGGTTGCTTTTGCAGTATGCTTTGGGTAATTGTCCATCTGCACTGTGAAGCCGCGTCCAATGAGTTTTGAAGCATTTGGCTGAAATATGAGCAGATAATATTGCCCGAAAACACTTCAGAATTCATCCTGCTGCTGCTTTTGTCAGCAGTCACATCATCAATAAATACAAGAGAACCAGCTCCATTGGCAGCCATACATGCCCCACGCCATGACACTACCACCACCATGCTTCACTGATGAGGTGGTATGCTTAGGATCATGAGCAGTTCCTTTCCTTCTCCATACTCTTCTCTTCCCATCACTCTGGTACAAGTTGATCTTGGTCTCATCTGTCCATAGGATGTTGTTCCAGAACTGTGAAGGCTTTTTTAGATGTCGTTTGGCAAACTCTAATCTGGCCTTCCTGTTTTTGAGGCTCATCAATGGTTTTCATCTTGTGGTGAACCCTCTGTATTCACTCTGGTGAAGTCTTCTCTTGATTGTTGACTTTGACACACATACACCTACCTCCTGGAGAGTGTTCTTGATCTGGCCAACTGTTGTGAAGGGTGTTTTCTTCACCAGGGAAAGAATTCTTCGGTCATCCACCACAGTTGATTTCCGTGGTCTTTCGGGGTCTTTTTATTGTTGCTGAGCTCACCGGTGCGTTCCTTCTTTTTAAGAATGTTCCAAACAGTTGTTTTGGCCACGCCTAATTTTTTTGCTATCTCTCTGATGGGTTTGTTTTTTTTTCAGCCTAATGATGGCTTGCTTCACTGATAGTGACAGCTCTTTGGATCTCATCTTGAGAGTTGACAGCAACAGATTCCAAATGCAAATAGCACTCTTGAAATGAACTCTGGACCTTTTATTTGCTCATTGTAATTGGGATAATGAGGGAATAACACACACCTGGCCATGGAACAGCTGGGAAGCCAATTGTCCCATTACTTTTGGTCCCTTAACAAGTGGGAGGCACATATGCAAAAACTGTTGTAATTCCTACACCGTTCACCTGATTTGGATGTAAATACCCTCAAATTAAAACTGACAGTCTGCAGTTAAAGCACATCTTGTTCGTTTCATTTCAAATCCATTGTGCTGGTGTATAGAGCCAAAAATGTTAGAATTGTGTCGATGTCCCAATATTTATGGACCTGACTGTATATCAGAGTGATTCCGCTGACTCTGCCGAATAAATGAATAGCTATGATCAGCTGCTAATAAACCACTAATAAAATAAGAAAAAACATATAAAAACAGCGCAAATAAATATTATATATACATTCTCAAAAAAAACAAATAATGAAGAAAAAATATCAT